GCTCTGATCTTTGCTTGTTGTGACTTTATAGAGAGAAATATACCAAAAAACTTCTAGTGATATTCTGACTGCTTCTTGCTACTTCAGTGGACTTGCCACATCACTATGTAAAACTGTATCTTAACTAGTAACACTTCATAGAAATGGAAACAGGTTTGATTTGGTCTGCAGGTGAAAATTCTATACTGAAATTCTCTGAGCTGCACAGAAACTTAGCTAAATTCCCTCAGTATTTTGTTGTATATTAGGAAAGGGGTACCTGGACATATTCATGGTCACACATTCTTGAAAGACCCGAGTTTAAAAGACTACTCACCTCACTATTTCTAATAGTTGGTTATGTTCTACTCAACAGTGAATCATAATATTAGTCTTGCTATTTTATTTCATGTTTAGCAGTTTTATATAGGCTCATCTGCTCGGCAGTATGGAAAATGAGATGAATAGATTTTATTGCTTGAAATGTTTGCAACTGCATAAGGCAGAAAGTAAAACATCAAAAAAAATTTTATGACTAGTGTCATCTAGGAGAAAACGTAGCAAATATAATACATTTATTTAATGCTACAAATGCACATTATATTTGAATTAAGAAAAATGTGAGATTTCCAATGCTTAAATTATGACCATTCTACAATTAATACTTATAAACATAGTTTATATGTAAACTCTTATTTTTCTTGCTACTATTTTATAATGAATAAAATATACATGTTTTAAATTTTATTTTTAATTTTAAATGTGTTTTCACTGATATCCAAAATAACAAAACTTATCTGTAGGCTTATATTTTTCAAAACCTACTGTAATAAGGGATCTTCAATGCTTTAACCTCCCTTATAGCCCACCGACCAAAGGTAGAAGAGGAAGACGGCTAATAGGACAAGGAGAATGTGGACCGGTTTAGAAGTAGTTCAGTGGGGCAATTGAAATCTTTGTTGTCAGCAGTTCATTCCACTATCAAAACATCAAACTCAAATCAGCAGCAGTAGTTTGTTCCAGAAGGTACTGCAATGCTGCAGTGATGGGCACAAGTCTACTGAAGTAGCAAGAATCAGTCACAATACCACCAAAAGCTTTTTGGTGTGTTTCTCTCTATAAAGTCACAGCAAGCAAAAATCAGAGAAGAAAGCATAGTGAACCAATGACAGAGCATCATTCACTGTTTGTTGGGTTATGCTTATACTCTTTCCCAACATTACATGTCCTTTCAAGCATCTGCTCCAGTAAAACATCATATGCCCTTCACCAGACAGCTTCCAGAAAAACTCCTCGTAACCATTCTCAGCAAAACATCCTCTCATGTGTCTGCTTCAACACAATATCTTCTCATAAGGCAGTTTCCAGAAAAACATCACATGACACAACTGAGTTTCCACAGAAACCAGACATTTCCACTTCCCTTATTTGGTATTAAAATCAATTATTAAACAAATCAGCTTTTTCAGCTTTAAAAGTGTGCTATATCTAAGGTTTAGTTGTATTAGCTAAGAGATTGTTAAGTAATTACTATCAGTATCATTTTATTTTTGTCAGTGGAACTTTATATTGAGTTATGAAATACTTTCAGGAAACATGTCACTAATTGTTGTTGGTTAATTGAAGCCTTAGACTAGAAAAGATCCTCCAAAAGGATGCTGTTTGTTTTTATCATCTTCTTCTGATCAATAGAGTCTTTGTTGTTTCTTAATGAAAGAGACTTTCCTTGACACATCATGTTAGAACAGTAGCGACCCCCCATCATTGAGCCCTTTACTTCGGTCCTACTCAGTGTTAATCACTAACTCAAACTATAAAATCACCATGTGGTTATTTGTCTGATTCTTACCATGGTAGCTTAGCTCTCTAAAGAAAAAATATTACCCGTTCCTCTTCTACTTCTCTGTCATGCTTGTCACAGCACCCAGCTGATGCCAGTTTAAAGGCATGCACTGGCATGTATATTTTAAACAGGATGAATGTATCAGAAATCACACTTCTTGGTTACATGCAAGAGATTATATTAGATTCAAAGAGTTATAAATTAGAAAAAGTGCATCTCAGTCCTCTCACAGCTTAATATAATAGTGCATTTTACCAACAAACATAGTATACATGTACTTAGTATAGATTTATGAACTTGTCTCTTTTAACATATATTTTATGTTCATTTTTTCAATCTCTTACATTGAATTTTCTGGGGGAATCTAATCCTACACACCTGTCAGAGTTCCCAGAGGAACCTAGAAAATAACTTAGAAAAATAAGACAGTGTGTTGTGAGAACGGGTTCACTCTAACTTCTAGTTTATAAACACTCCAATGTCGAAGTACTACATGATGATTCATTCCTCATTGCCTGTAGGGATTTAATGCCACCTCAATGAAGTCTCAATAAAGCTAGTTTATTTCCTTCATTGTTAAAGTATATTTTCTTTCTGTTTATGAACATGAGGCATGAAAACCTTTTGGGAATGTGGTGCTCAAGTCTCCATCTTATTAAACAAACCCTAGACAATGTGAGCAAATGTTAGGAATTAAAGACCAATTTTTTAGAATAGGTTTTCTACTATCTTGTAGTTTAACTCTCAATCATTAAAGTAACTGCCAGATAAACCACCAAAGACTTAATTCCCACAGGATAGCAGCTTGGTTGGAGAGACAATGAGCTAAGTAAAACAATAACTGAAAGCATGTTGATGTTAAGTGCTGAGAAGGACACTAAGGCAGGATTAGAGTGTTGGAGAGATGACAGAAGGGAAGCCATGCCTGTCTCTGGGCTTGCCAAGCTACAATGAGCTCAGCTCTGGGCAAGGAGAAGGTGACCCATGAAACAGATAAAATGACAAATATGTAATCTCCTAGCAGGATTTGCCTTGCTACTGAAAGAAGAGGACAGAAGTCATTGTGTCTAGACAGTGTTTGAGAAGAAGGTGAGGGAACCACTGTAGGCTCTGGAGAACTTTTAACTCCAGTCCTAGTGATTGGAAGCAGATACCAGAGCACACTTGGACATTGCCTTTGCCTTGAACATTCAACTTGGTAGAGTTGTGTCTCCAGTGATTCTAGAGCAACAGATGATTATTCATTATTCAGGTGTATACATATCTGAGGTTAAAGTTGACAGATTTGTTACTATAGATTATTCTTTCATTTCTTACTTCTCTTAAGGATATATCAATAAATCTGAGAAAGTGGCATATGTATACTATTACTTTCTTTAATAGGTTAGATGTATAAGAAATTTGGATTCAAGTACTTTGGTTTAAAAGCCTCATTTCTCAAACATATTATAAAAGGAAAGATTCTATGTTAATTGTCAAGATGTATCCATAGCTTTTCTTGTTCTAGAGCCACATGAGCATTTGTTTACATATAAACATCTACTCTAACTAGATTCTACATATTAGAAAGAGCTTGGAGTGCTGTTCTTTTGTTTTGTTTCTTCAGTTTTTTTTTTTTTTTGCAATTGTGTGAGGTTCTGAAGAACTGAATAGGCATGAGTTATAAACGAGGATATAAAGCGAATGTCTTCTAGTTCATTCTGTGTCATGAATTTTTCTTTGTTTTGAGAGTGGCTAAGAAAATAAGACATATTCAATACTGAAAGTATAAAATTTGATGTACAGCTCCATAGCTTCTTTTGCAAATGCCTATTCCAACTTTACAAAGTTTATTCATTCAGAGACTTTGCGTAGTTTTTATTTACTTGCAATAATTTAATAATAAATTTATAAAATAAAAAATTATTTCTTAGTAGCTTCAGACTCATACTGATCTAAGTATGGATCTATTTCTCCAGTGTAGACAGAGCTAGGCGGGCTGAATAGTTTGTATTAAAGTAACTACTGATGATTGCTTAAATTAGGTCTATGGTTATGGAGGTGAGAGATCAGGAATTAGAATAGACCCATATGGCAAACACAGTTCTGGTTGGACTCTCCCTGACTGAGGTTTGCTAAGAGGAAAACAGAGAGATAAGTCCTAAACACTAGAAAAAATTATAAATTAGGAGATTAAGAAATATCCATGAAAGAATCAAGAAGCAACTTCTAAGAAGAGATGAAGTTTTAAAATGTTAATGATATTGTATACACCATTTATAGAAAGCAATACAGTTAGGTTCAAAACAGAGACTGGTGAATTTTTAGATAGAAACTCTTTTCATATGGGCTAGTCTTGTTCTCCATTATAAACAACTATTTCTTTGCTTCTTTAGTAAGAACATCTAACACATGACCTTCTATCCCCAATATTTAAGTCTCCAAGATATTATTATTATTTACAGGCTCAATGTGATACATCTAAACTCCAGTACTTATTCATTATGCACACTGATATTATACACTTTGATTAGTGACTTCTACTTTCTTGATTTGTGTACTGTTATTAAATTCTTTCTAATTTCCCTTCTTCCCATTATATTGTTTCCGCTCTTCTGTCTATGTGATTTGTAAATATCTGAACCTTTTAGGCAATGCCACGTACAAAAGCTGATAGAAAAAAAATTCTACCTGTTATCTTAAAGACTGAAATTGAGTTCTGGCCATCCTGGAACAATGCTGTTGCTGCAGGCTATTACATCAAAAGTCAGAATTATTTAAAATGTTTTTGAGGTTTATCCGGACTAGTGCAACTGAGATAGATAGATTGTGACTTCTGGTGAAGTATTTTATTGATTGATTGATTGATGGGTGGATTGTAAATCTGTACTACAGACAATAGTTATTTTAGTTACTATTATTTATGTATATGCATGTGCTTGGGTGTACCTGCATACATATGCATGTGCCTGCCAGTTTCCTTGTAGCCCACAAATGGAATCAGATGTCATAGACCTAGACGTGGTTGTGATTCACCCTTTGTAAAATGTTGGACATTAAAACAGAGTCCACTGCAGGAGTGCTTAACTACTGAGCCATGTCTCCATCCCCTTGATAGTTAATTTTAATAAGCATAACCTAGTTATTTTTAAAGAGGTTTAATGAAACTGTAGCTCTCTCTCTTTTTTTTTTTTTTCAGAGAAATGCGATGAGCCTCTCATCTCTGGTCTTCCCCATGTGTCCTTCAGCAGCTCTTCCTCCTTGTCCAGCAGCTATGCACCTGGCTATGCCAAGATCAATAAACGAGGAGGTAAGAAACATTTGATTCCTTTGAGGCTAGAAACATGTTATATTTGTAACTTGTCATTGATGCATATATTAACACAACAAATATTACTAGTCATATAAATCCATGATTAAACAAATACCAGAGCTACCTTGTGTGTGTGTGTGTGTGTCTGTGTGTGTGCACGCTACAAATTAAGCAAGGTAAGTTAATGTGTATGACATTTGGAGTTATTTCTGCCAAGATATTCAAAAAACATAAACATTTTTAGTTAAAGAAATACTTTTTAGTCCAATAATACTGAATCAAACCAGGTGTTTAAAAAAATGAGTCCCAATAAATATCTATGAATGTAAGTAAAAATGCAATGTAAATTCCATGGCTTAAATATGTATATTGATATGCAAATAATTTCTTTTGAAAAAAAACCAGAAGTTTTTTTTTAACTTTATAAAAGATAGCTCTGTATTTAGATTCTCATACTCTGGGAATATTGGTAAAATCACCTGGGCTCTAATACTCCTAGTATTCCTGTCCTATTCTGAATCGCAGGTTTCAGTGGGCCCTAGGCTTAGGCCGACAGTTACAATAGGTTTAGTATTTGGAATGAACTCCAACACTTCCTTTTCTTAGCAGACACCTCATGAGTTCAGCCATCTGCAACAGCCTTAGGTTTCCATTTCTACTTGGTTTCACCTAAGTTGCTCCTTGCAATGTCTTCTTACAGCCTTACTGCAGAAACTCTAACCCCACCACACATTTCTTGCTCTGAAAAGCTTTCTGGAGCTTTGTTTCAAGCTTCCATTGTCTTCTCACCCTTTTAAATTGTACACACCTGCAGTACTAGCATCCTATGATGATATGCACTTTTTTTTTTTCAAGCTGGACATATACTTGACACTTTTCCACCCCACTTTGGTGACTCATGTGTCATGACAGGTGAGCTAGGAAAACAACTTCCATAGGTAGTTGTTTTTGAACAGTGAATAGCATCAGCAGATTTACTAACTCAGTTTCGGTTTTCAAATAAATTTACATTTTCACAAGTCAAATCCTTGAGCTGATTGAGTCTTCCTTCAGGATGCCTTTGCCATCACACCATTAAGGAACTTGAAGTTTCCTCTTAATGGCACTAATCTCTCTAACTACTACAATGACATTTTTATATTTGCCGTTTCTTTAAACTTACCCATATTGCTTTGTTTTTGTAAGTGCATGGTTTTCAATATTTTCTCCTTACTTTTTCTACGGAGCTCAGAGCTGTGAAATGTAACTATTCTACAGCCTGGCAGAGTGCATTGTGTGAACTATCTGCAATTACACAATCTCTTTAGCAATTATGGATCTTTTTCTTCACCCTAAACGTGCACAAAGTTAACCTCACTCATGCTCCTTTTCTAACACAACTGCACATTTTAGGTTCTTCTGTTCCACTTGCTGCTCTCTCTCACTATAAACCTTAACAAGAGCTATGAGCAAAAACGGTAGCACAGCTGGAATACTATGTTGTCCTGAGCTTCCTTTCACAGACAAATTACTTCATTTCTTCTCAATGAAACATCATTCAAGTTTTCAGAACTCAAGGCAATTGCAGTTAAATTCTTTGCCAGAATGTAAATTAATGTTTTCTAATCCAATTTCCTATAGAGTGCTGATTCCCATGGAAACTTGTGAGCTGACACTTCACTGTCAACAGATCTACTGTCTTGATCTTCCTCATTCTAAACAAACTGGTCCATTAAGCTCTGCTTAGAACTCTTACCCATTCATTTTATACCCTTCCAAGTTCCTTCTATAAACCAGTTAAAAAGACCTACAAATCACACAGTCATATCACAATAACAACCCTCCCACTCCTCAGTACCAATTTTCCATACTGGCACCATCATCCCAAAGTGTCCCTCCACCTTTTCCAATTTATTTATTTATTTATTTATTTATTTATTTATTTATTTATTTATTT